AATGGTTGCCAGAGGGTGAAATTTAAGTCATTAATTATATGTAGAAATCTAAGTGGCCATGCAAAGTGTTTTCCTGTTGAATAATTCTCTTGTACACATGCTTTTTAAACTTTGACCTTCAGATCAATGTATAGCACTCACTATACACACACTCACACATAAAGAGATACATGCATATATCCACAAACATCAACAATTCAGATTTCTTAAATACTAATTGACGTGGCTTATGTGTATGTGTATACACATATTATATATTTACAAACTTTTATGTTAGATCCGATTAATCGCTATTACTCAATTTGAAAGCACTAATAAAAAAGTGAAAATAGCACAACTTTTGCAAAAGCAGGTAGCAGTGACATTTTCTTCATAAACTGTACAAATATAGTTGATTTTTTCCCCTGTTTACACGGCTTTGGGTAGGTCAGCAGAAAAGTTGTTTCAATGGTAGATACAGTTGTTACATTTTAATACCCTTTTTATTTTAGAATAATATGATGAAACTACACAATAAGACAAATCAACACAAATAATTGCAGACTGCAGTGGTACAGTATAAATACTCAGTACATATCAAACAATCTGTATCAGACAAAGCAATAGTGACACATGGGAAATACACTGTTACTCGCACACGTGTGTTGCAACATTGCTGTCGGATCCAATAGTGTGCACTGCATCATTTTTTATTTTCAGTCTTCTTCGAAATGTGTCTAGTTTAAAAATGAATCTGCGGTAAAAATGAAGCGAACAAACGAACAGTGTCTTACTGATGCTATCTGATGCTATCTGACTCAAACTTTGATCACATGGATGGCAATGCACAACTTGGCACTTCAAAATGTCGTGTAATCCTCAAAGGCATCTCTATCGTTTTGTTGCTGGAGTAATCCTGTATTTGCGTCTGTCTCATATTTACAACTACCGGTACATGACATGCATGAATCGGTGGGCGGGGCTAAAGAGGCAGTGATGTAGAAATAGGCATTGATCTTCTCCAGAAGTAGTCTTTCGTCGCACTATGACGTATTAATGTGACAAAATCCGAAACTAGAAGTTTTCTGAGTTTGGTTTCAATAAAAGCTGTTTTAGGACTAACAAGGACGTTTTGAGTTCTGAAAGTTGCAGGATATTTTTATAGCACAGTGACTTCTTAAATGTCAAAAGATCAAGGAAAATTGTATTGCTCAATTTATGACCCATTTAAGAATGTAAATAACATAACCTTTGGTTTTATATGATCTTAAATCTGAAGGCTTCTGTGTGCCGAGTTCTTCTCACCCTCACCGAGTGTTAATGAGTGAGAGCTGATAAATGACCAGCCATATCCTACTGAGATAGTATGAGCTACTACATCTGTTTCTTGTCTCTCTTTCTCTCTCTCTTTCATTACAAGCAGTTGAGAGGAGGATGTGGGTGATGCATATGAGGCCGACTCACTTCAGTCTCCTGTGAGACTAGACACGCGCCACTGGTCCATTGTCCTTAGATGGTGGTTAGAACAAGACCAGCCCTGTAACTGCTGCACATATCTAATCCCCATCATTTAGACTCAAACTCACTGTGGAGCGTTTTTAAATGTGAAGTGTATCATTTTGTGTTACTGGGGAAGTGTGTTCTTTCTGTGCCTATACTGAGACATTGACTGTTTTCAAACAGGTTTTCTAAATAATCCATGTTGTCTTCCATTGGTCGGGTAAACAAATTGTCATTGGTTGAGTCAATGTTGCTGAATCAGGCTAGTCGGGATGCCAGACCAAATGGCCCATGTTCTCAGTAGCACCTCATTGCAGTACACAAGATCCAGGGAGTTGGATCCAGATCTAACACCGTGTCCTAACTACACGCGACGCGACGCCGCGACACGCGATAAAAGGTATCTTTTCCATGTTAATCAGAGATTTTGTCCTAACCAGACGCGACGGCGACACGCGAAGTTTCTAATTTAGAAACGGTTCCTATTTCTGCGACGTCGCGGCTGACAGATCCGCCCACACAGAGATCTCATTGGATGGAAGTTCTGCGTGTCAAGAAATTACACTGGTTATGAGTACACATTATTTATTTTTAGTTAAAAATAGGTCACTGTGCCACAAGCGATAATGGATCATTTACCTCAGATTTTGAAAGCATATAATATAGCGTTCAAACTGAATTCTATGCAAACATGCAACTGTTCTTCATAACAAAATTAGTCAATGAGTATATTTTGTTAATGTTTTGATTTTTAATAATGTTATTTCTTGATTTGATTATGTCCTTACCCATTTCCAATGCGAGTGCGGGCCAGCAGTGCGCTTTCACAGAGAGACTCCGCCCACACGCTGTTCTGAATGGCTGTGATTTTTGATTGACGCGTGGCGTCTCACAGTCGCGTCGCGTCTAGTGTGGACAGACACACTTGCTGTCGCTGGAATTTTATCGCGTCGCGTGTAGTTAGGACACGGTGTAATGGGTGGAGATGGGTAGGATTAGGGTGGGGTTAGGGACCAGGGGGCGGAGATGGGTAGGTTTAGGTATATGTAAGATGGGAGGAGTTGGATCTGGATCCAACTCCTCCCCCTGGATTTCTTGTTCTGCAGTGAGGACCATCTTCATGTTCTCCCAAAGTCACATGCCTCCTCCTCGCTACGGTTGGCTTGTCAATGCAGTAATGTCTATCATGTCTATCATGTTCTCTTGATCAATATGATCATTTTCCTGTCAATGCGATAATACTTCTCTCGTGCTCTCAACAGTTGGGCAAATCAGCCTAAATAGGTCTGTAACTGGTGTAAATGAATGGTTTAGTGGGTTAAATGAATATTATCATGTTCTGTCACATCTGAATCTAAATGAACTTGAAATGACTTGAATTGACAATCTGTTAGTGAGCTGGGTTTTAGTGAGCAATCAGCAGTTCTTCTGAATATTCGCTGACTAATGGTCTGAAAAGATGACTGTTAATAATTATAATAGCTGAACAACTTTTATTACTAACGAAAAACTACAAGAAATTGTATTATTTGTTTAAGGCATTGATATACTTCAAGCAAATTCGAAGAATGAACTGGTGTGACATAATTTCAAACAAAAGCAGGCCAAAGCGAAGTTCGTTTGGAGTTTCTCAGAAAAAAAGGGAAACTATAAAGAGTTTCAAACTCCTGAAATGATGTGATTTAATTTGAATAAATAGCATGTTAATATAATTATGCATGATATTCGGCATGTTTTGGATCGCTGATTGTTTAGTCTAAAGGGAAGAGGTTTGTTCTCCTGCACTCTCTCTTCTACTGTTGATGTCAAAGGTTTTTTGCTATGCACAGCAGTGCTGCCTGGCTCGGTTTCTTTTTCGGCTGGCAAAAAGAGCTTTAAAACACACACACACACACACACACACACACACACACACACACACACACACACACACACACACACACACACACACACAATGGCTTTATTAATAACAGGAGATGACTGTCGGCCTGCCAGTTTGACACAAGTTGCTTTGTCATTTTGTGACTCCAAGTCCAGCCTCTCTCCTTCTCTTTCTCTCAGGGCTGAGAAGTGTGACTGCAGCAGACGGATACATTGACATAAGGGAATACTCAGGAGTGATCACAGTTCTCATGCTCCACAGAGAGAATGAGAAGAAGAGAGAGAAAGAGTGGAGCTCTATCCCTGTGGCCTTGTTTCTTTTCCTCATTGTCACAGTCATGCCCCCCGGTTTATTGATCACTGCCTCTGCACGGCGCCTCATAACACACAAACAGAAAAACACACAGTTAATGGATTAGTTTACTCAAAAAAAAAAATTAACAATTTGTTTAACCTGGGATAGTAGGGTGAGCAAATGATGACACAATTGTCATTTTTGAGTGAACTATTCCCTTACAAGTACTGTTAGTGGCCTACAGAGTACCAATCAGTCTTCTGATTGGTTGAACTGGCGTCTGTCATAGGGACAGATGTGATATCTCAGGATACATAGTTGAGTGATATCAGGTAGTCTAGAAAGAAATGCTTGAAGCTACTTTAAGCTTTAGAAGAAACAAGCTAATTCTCTGTTTGCTTTTGTGGTTTTTCTTATTAACTTTACGTTAGTATAAATATTAACATAAACGGCTAACATGGTCTTCTATATATATGACCCTGGACCACAAAACCAGTCACATGGGTACATTTTTTTAAATTGAGATTTATACATCACCTGAAAGCTGATTAAATAAGCTTTTCATTGATGTATGGTATACATCTAGTACATACAGATACAACTATTTGAAAATCTGGAATCTGAGGGTGCAAAAATATCGAAACATTGAGAAAATCGGCATGAAAAAAGTTGTCCATTTATGTTCGCGATTGTGCTGCATCTACTCAAAAAAATAAAGGTTTTCATATATTTACAGTTTTATATATTTATAAATTTACAAAATATCTTCATGGAACATAATCTTTACTTAATATCCTAATGATTTTTGGCATAAAAGCAAAATCAATAATTTTGACCCATACAATGTATTGTTGGCTATTGCCACAAATATACCTGTGCGACTTGTGACTGGTTTTGTGACCCAGGGTCACATATGTTAACAAATACCCTCTCAAATGTATGTTTGTCATGATGATTAATTTATTCAGCAAATAAAAGTGTCTGACAATAAGGTTTTTTTAAGTGAATAGTAATCGATTGGTCATGTGATTTCAAAATGGTGACCCCTCCCCATGTAGAATTAAACAGCTTTTTCAAGGCTACTGATATGATTTGATGTCTTCATCCTAGGGCTGTGTAAGTCTGAGTGTCTCAGACATTGGTGGGCTTAAATTTGTAATATATATACTGTATACAGTATATTATATATATATATATACTGTATCTCTCTCTCTCTATATATATATATATATGTATGAAAAATGTTACTACATGCACCTTGATGAATAAGTGCACATTATTGAATAATGGTTTTGAATGTTTACATTTTTTAACTTCTGTTTGTGCATTTGTGTGTGTTTTGCAGCAGGAAGCTGCAAAAATGAGGAGCGTGTGTTTCGTGAACGCATGCGTCCCAGGAAGAGGCAGGGAGCTGTCCGGAGGAGAGTGCATCAAGTCAACGGGCACAAGTTCATGGCCACCTACCTGAGACAGCCCACCTACTGCTCACACTGCCGCGACTTCATCTGGTGAGTCCCACAGCAACCGTCAGCTGATATTTACAGCCGCGTAGAGTGCCGTTTGTACAGCTGCGTCTGTTGGTAAACCCGCGTCTGAGTTTTGACATAACAAGTGTACACTGTCCCTCCTCACGAGTCCGTTCACGGGTGGTTTCCCCTCAGAGGGCTGCGTTTCCATGGTAACTTCAGGAAAAGCCCCGAGGCTCAGAGCGACAGTGCTACAATACGTGTGTATTGAGTGTGTCTGGCATCCTCCACACTGCACAAGAGCACCACCGTGTCCCGCGGCCGCCTCTCTGGAGAACAGAAAAAATATGGCTGTTTTAAAGATAAGGTGCAGACATGATGTGTGGGACTGAAACTGAAGGGAAAGGCAGCGGATAACAACACACACCCTATAAAATCTATATTTGTGAACAGTTATTTTCTCCTAAAGAGTTACCAGGATACAATTCCTGTAAGCAATTTTTCAACGTAGGAGGATATTTGTCCACATACTGTATATGCATTTCCTTTTGCATAATCATATTGCGAACACTTTGCTGTATGGTCTTATTTGTTAACATTAATAATTAATGCATCAAAGTCCCCCTGTGGTGAAAATCAAGTTTTTAATGTTGTTTGTATGCCTATGTGTTTTTTTAATATGCTTTAAGTAAGACAAACCATGTTCAAATTCATAAGTCAACACTATTGCTGAGTATTTTCTCCTTAAAACTGCAGTGAACCAAAGACAGTCTCATAAACGCGGTTTGAAATCGCTGGGGTTTCTGACGTCGCAAACTACCTTGTAACCAATCACGTCAACATGCCGACGGGTTTTAGCATATCATTAACAGTGAACTAGCAGGGGAGATGAGATGCCAGGTTATCCCAGTATCTTTTTCGTTGATATGAAAAATCGTCTAGATTTATCAATATAGCAGGTGTATGATGTATATTACCATGTTACGATGAACTACACTCACCTAAAGGATTATTAGGAACACCTGTACAATTTCTCATTAATGCAATTATCTAATCAACCAATCACATGGCAGTTGCTTCAATGCATTTAGGGGTGTGGTCCTGGTTAAGACAATCTCCTGAACTCCAAACTGAATGTCAGAATGGGAAAGAAAGGTGATTTAAGCAATTTTGAGCGTGGCATGGTTGTTGGTGCCAGACGGGCCGGTCTGAGTATTTCACAATCTGCTCAGTTACTGGGATTTTCACGCACAACCATTTTTAGGGTTTACAAAGAATGGTGTGAAAAGGGAAAAACATCCAGTATGCGGCAGTCCTGTGGGCGAAAATGCCTTGATGATGCTAGAGGTCAGAGGAGAATTCAAGCTGATAGAAGAGCAACTTTGACTGAAATAACCACTCGTTACAACCGAGGTATGCAGCAAAGCATTTGTGAAGCCACAACACGCACAACCTTGAGGCGGATGGCCTACAACAGCAGAAGACCCCACCGGGTACCACTCATCTCCACTACAAATAGGCAAAAGAGGCTACAATTTGCAAGAGCTCACCAAAATTGAACAGTTGAAGACTGGAAAAATGTTGCCTGGTCTGATGAGTCTCAATTTCTGTTGAGATATTCAGATGGTAGAGTCAGAATTTGGCCTAAACAGAATGAGAACATGGATCCATCATGCCTTTTTACCACTGTGCAGGCTGGTGGTGGTAGTGTTATGGTGTGGGGGATGTTTTCTTGGCACACTTTAGGCCCCTTAGTGCCAATTGGGCATCATTTAAATGCCACGGCCTACCTGAGCATTGTTTCTGACCATGTCCATCCCTTTATGGCCAGCATGTACCCATCCTCTGATGGCTACTTCCAGCAGGATAATGCACCATGTCACAAAGCTCGAATCATTTCAAATTGGTTTCTTGAACATGACAATGAGTTCACTGTACTAAAATGGCCCCCACAGTCACCAGATCTCAACCCAATAGAGCATATTTGGGATGTGGTGGAACGGGAGATTCGTGCCCTGGATGTGCATCCCACAAATGTCCATCAACTGCAAGATGCTATCCTATCAATATGGGCCACCATTTCTAAAGATTGCTTTCAGCACCTTGTTGAATCAATGCCACGTAGAATTAAGGCAGTTCTGAAGGCGAAAGGGGGTCAAACACAGTATTAGTATGGTGTTCCTAATAATCCTTTAGGTGAGTGTATATGCCTTTCTCCACTGACGTTCTGAGTTGTTCACAGCGTTTCTGATTGTTAGAAGGCAGATTGAGATGGTGAACGGGAACATGGTTTGTGTAACAGTAGCAACACATTATTAGCTGTTTGATAACACGGTAAAGCAAAAGGCTAATCATATTAATTACCGACGTTGTATAGAGCGATACCTTTGTGCAGCATTTCCCTCAGTAAGTTAGCTAAGTGAATCTCTGAGCTGGCGTGAGTGGAGGCGGGGCTAAATAGCATATTAATGGATTCATGTATAATAAATGAATGGTGTAGAGTTGCATTCAAATATTTTAAGGCACAACGAACTTTTTTATTCACAGGAAAAAACGTTTAAATATGTAATTTTGGTGATTGAATATGAGTTTTAAGGGATACAATTATTGACTACAGGGAATTTAAGTAAGGAATAATTGGCAACGGGCTGTTGAATTATTCGAAAACAATGCACACCTAAGGTGGTAATGCGGCCACGACTCATAGCAGTTTTTCTAAAAATTAATTTATGAACTGTTAAATGCATACTAAAATAAATGCTGTTGTGTTTAGTGTCACTGTTCAAGACAAATAATAGCTGATCTCCTTCTCTTCACAGGGGTGTATTAGGAAAGCAAGGGTATCAGTGCCAAGGTAGGTAGATAAAATTCAGTTTTCTTAATATTTCTCCATATCAGTGTTTCTGTTCGAGTTCGGGTATATCGGGTTGCTTGTTCATAGAAAATATTAGCAACAAAATCTAAAGCAACAAAACACATCAACATTCCTATTAAAGTAATAACTCAACCAAAATGTCAATTCTGTCATTATTTACTTATCCACATATTTATTGTATTTTCAGTGGAACACAAAAGAGAAATTTTAAAAGAATGATCATGTGACGGCTGTATTCATATTGAACTGTTGAGGTATGGAAAAGAGCTATCAAGATAACAACGCAAGAGAAATATCATTGGAGAAGTCAGTTCGACTTGAACACTTTATTCAAAATTCCCCTTTTGTCTTCCACAGAATAAAACAACAAAATACATGGTGAACAAATAATAGGATCATTTGTATTTTTAGGTGAATTATTCCTTTAAGCAGTGACTAGCTCACAATCTGAAATGAAGGAAACTTCTGGCATGGACAGGAACCTCCTAAAAATATCATATCTATACTCTAGCTGAAAACATTCTTATCTGTGAGCTCAGTAATACATCCGAAAAGTGAAGTAAAGCTAATTTCGTCGACTCCTTGTCTCTGTCCCTCAGTGTGCACCTGTGTAGTTCATAAACGCTGCCATGAGCTGATCATCACTAAATGTGCAGGTCTGAAGAAACAGGAGGACACCACAGAGGAGGTGAGAGGAACCTGTAGAAAAATCACACATGATGTCTCTTTCATAACTTTCATTTAAGATGTTTTCACCAATGAGAGTAAAATAGAAACTTTTGCTTAGATTTCCTGCTTTTCAGATGTTTATCCTGTGAAAAAAAAGAACCCATAAATCTTTTCTTGAGTTTCAGAAGAGGTCTTAACAGTAACAGAGGTCTTCAAACTGTGTTTAGATTTGCAAAGATGCAATGAAAAAAAAAAAAGACGAATTTATCCTAGAGTTATGCTATCTACACTTTAATTTCAAAGTTCTCTAGCTCTGGCCCTCGAGGTCCACTTTCCTGCAGAGTTTAGCTCAAACCTTGATCAAACTCACCTCCCTATGGCTGCGTCCCAAATCGAGTAGGTCTTGGTACTTATTTTGAATAAGTAATTACTTCATGACAGCTAAAATGTATGTTCTATCTATATAGTATGAGTGTATGTAGTATGAATGGAATCCTGACTTACCACATTTGCCATGTTGTCATTTGTCTCAGCCTCAGACGTCATGCCCCAAACCGCTGGCTGTATGTCTTATCATATGGCAGGCACACTTAACTAGAAATACTTCAGGATTTTTGAAGTCGTCATCTTATTGGTTGAATTCTACAGGATGTCCGGGAGACGTATGAGTAATTTTTTTAACGGTCCGCCTGTAAACAAAGATCCCTTGATGCCAAACCCCGTCATAGAAGAAGAAAGCCGTTGTGTTTACTACTGTGACAATGAGCGCTGATAAGAATCAAAAGTAGGCCCTATGTGAAGTATGTAAAGTTCATGGCATAGACTCTTTAAAATACATCCAAGAGTTGAACACAGTCGAAAATCAACGACATCAACATTACATTTTCACGCACCTAACCATGACGTGGAAAAAAACTAACTGTGATTGGTCCTTGGCCAATGAAAGCTGCTATGGAGTCCAAAACTTCTGCAGCCAGTCTGAAGGTCTGGCTATGCGAGACTATGTTGTCATTATCATGTGATCTACCAGCATCAGTTGTGTCGCTTCACTGCCATTCATAGATCCTCTCCTGTGGCCTCATGGGATGGTATAGTGTCCACTTCAGAATCTCGCCGGAAGTATAGGTCATTCGGGTACTTTTTGCCTACTCTTTTGTTGTCACATACTGTTTTTCGCTTACTCTACAGTAGGGAATTATGGGATTTCGGATGCAACCAACAACATTTTAAGTAATCCTTAAGACCTTTATAAGCTTGTTCAGGTGAATTTGATTAGGGTTGGAGAAAAACTCGGCAGGAAAATGGACCTGGAGGTCATTTTTTCCAGTTTAAGTCTATTTTTAGTCTACTTAATTTTAGGAAACATCCATTATATCTCTTGAGATAAAGAGCAACACCTGAGATATAAAACTTTCCTCTGGAGTTAAATAATATAGTCTACCATATTTTTACTGTTAGCATACATCAGTGTGTGTGTTGGCTTTATTAAATGGGTGTCACTACCCACAGCTATATACAGTATATTGGATGTAAGTAATAATAATAAAAAAAAACAATGAGTTTTGAGTTTTTCCTCTGTAAAAATGCTTGTGATCACTGCATAGGCATCTTTCTGATCCTCTATCGCCCCCTGCAGGTGGGATCTCAGCGCTTCAGCGTCAATATGCCTCATAAGTTCCGGATTCACAACTACAAAGTCCTCACGTTCTGTGACCACTGCGGTTCATTACTGTGGGGTCTGCTGCGGCAAGGGCTGCAGTGCAAAGGTAAGAGTGGCATTCTGGGAAATATAGATACACGGTTCCCACAGTCATGGAAAAGCTGCCAATTTTTCAGGGATTTTTTAAATATTTTGTCATTTCATGGTTTTTTTTTTTTTTTTTTTTTTTTTTGCTCTATTCTGTAATTAAATATATTAATTAAAGACTGGCATTTGAGAATCCCTATTAAATATATATATATATATATATATATATATATATATATATATATATATTTTTTTGTATAATGTTGGGTTGTTTCATCCCATGTTTGGATCAAATTTCAATAAAAAAATTTAAACCAATAGTTGGGTTTGTCCATATTTAACCCAAATATGGGTTGAAACAACCCACCATTATTTAGAGTATATATATATTTAAAAGGTTACTAGAAAGGTCACAGAAAAGAAAAAGTTGTGCTCTCTTTCATTGTGAAAACAATACTTTGACCCATTGTTATTTAGTATCATTTTTATTGTATTTTTTCAAGTTAAACTAGGAATAAAATAAGTTTAAGTTTTTTTTATATTTTATTTTATTTCAAGGAATGAAAGTTTTCTCATGGTTTTAGTTGTAGTTTTAGTAAACGATAATAACCCTGCTATATCCCCAAATCTTCCAAGATTCAAACATGCATTGAAATACAGTGTAAGTTCTCATGCCGTCTCCCTTCATTTCTACGTCCACAGTTTGTAAGATGAATGTGCACAAGCGTTGTGAAAGTAATGTAGCTCCTAACTGTGGGGTGGACGCCAGGGGCATCGCCAAGGTGCTGTCCGACCTCGGAGTCACTCCAGATAAACTCTCCGGCAGCGTCCAGAGGAGAAAAAAGGTAAGAGACCGACAATCATCAGGAATTATTTGTTCACACTAGAGAAGTAGGCATGTAGAACTGAAAGGTCAAAAGCCTCGTTCTCCTCCATGCAGCTGTAGACGATAGTAAATACACTGATTACCGATGACATAACGGTCTTTATAGCGAGCACTCGATCAGGCCTCCTGAAACATAATGATGATTGAATGATGAAGATGATTTGTTCTTGTTTTCCACACAGATCTCTCAGGGTCCAGATCCACAACCCTCACCCATATCCCCACTGTTAGAAGAGGACCGATCCAAATCTGCACCTACATCACCATGTGACCAGGGTAAACCAATAAAGCTAAATATAAAGCTCTGCAGATGCTTCTTGGGTTAAATACATTATTTTATTATATTCAGTACAACATATTACCACATAAAACAAGTTTAACTTGTCCTTAATTCACTTAAAATGCAAGTCTATGGGGCCATTTTTTAAAAATGTGAAGCTTGTATTTTGCCAAGTTTTCATGGCTTTGTGACAAACAAACTGATATTGTCATCAATGAAATCAAATGGCTAATAGTCTAAAAGGGCTGTATTTAATTTAAAAGCTACAACTGTGTTACAGTACGCTTATAGTGGTTTATTGTCATTTTGAAGCTTGACAGCGTTTGATAAATATGCGTTTGATAGCCAGTGCTTTATGTCATTTATACCTGCATCACATGACTATATAACTATATGCACAGGCACATTTGCTGATTTGGCGCTCATTTTTTAAAATGATCAAAGTTGAAAACAGCTGTGCTAAATTTTTGCGTGATACATTTTTTTTTCTGGATTCTTTGATGAAAAGAAAGTGTAAAAAGAACAGAATTATTTGAAACAGAAATCTTTCTAACATTATAAATGTCTTTACTCTAACTGTTGATCAATTCAGTGCACCCTTGCTGAATAAAACGATTAATTTCTTTCAAAAGAGAGTACATCTTTAAAACATGGTAGTCTGATACTGTAGATCCGATGCTGTGTTTTGCGTGCATTGCATTTAACATGTATTGTGTTTGTTTTTTACTATCTGAATGTGAGTTTATGGGACTCGATATGGGGTCAGATAGCATGTGATGTGATTTGGCTTTTTGTTTTGTGATCTGCAGATATAAAGGACCTGGAGAACATCAGGAAGGCACTTTCGTTTGACCATCGAGGTGAAGAGCTAAAGCCAGCCTCGTCCTCCTCTCTGACCGAGGGAGAGTCAGAGGAGACGGGGGAGGCGAGAGAGAACGGAGAGGTGAAGACCGTCCAGACCAAAAGGATGATGCTGGAAGACTTCTCCTTCATCAAAGTGCTCGGGAAAGGCAGCTTTGGCAAGGTGTGGATCATGTCTGGTAGTTTTGTCTGGTGTGTAATAAGGGCCCAGCAGTCTGAGCGCAGTGTTGTGTTTGTGTACAGGTGATGCTGGCTGAGTTAAGAGGCACTGATGAGGTTTTTGCGGTGAAAGTGTTGAAGAAAGACGTCATCCTGCAGGACGATGATGTGGACTGCACCATGACTGAGAAACGCATCCTAGCCCTAGCCAGAAAACACCCTTATCTTACCCAACTGTACTGCTGCTTTCAGACCAAGGTGAGAGCCAGGGAGTGTTTCTGCTCTATACTCAGTTTAGCCTCAGTGCAAACTTTAAAATAATGAGCTAAATGGACAGTCAAGCACTAAATAGCAAAACATTCTCCTTATTCATAAATGTTTTGCAGATTGCCACTAGATGGAGCTGTAATATTACATTGTGTCCGGTATTCAGATAGCTTTTAGAGCTTGTGCGTAGCTTTTAAAGCGCTTTAGCTCTTTATCTGAAGAGGGCAAGGTTGTGGCTTTTAATTCAAATGAAAACCAGCAATTGCGTTTATACACTAAAATGAGAATTATACTTTAAATCAAAAGTGAACTGCTAAAATGATCTGCTATAAATCTAAATAAAATCTGAATAAATCAATACATATTTATTGACAAACTGTTATTAGATGAACTGTAAAAAAAAACTTTTTTCTTAAATTACTTGTATTAAATAAACTAAAAAGAGCAAATGCAAAAAATAAGATCAAAATACTTTTTTTTTTTACATAAAAGTATAACTAATAAAGCCCAAAACTTAAAACCTATAATATTAATAATATGACCATGATTAAATTAAAATCTATGCATAATTTAAATATAATAGAAACATGTTTGTCTTATTTAAAGTTGGACTCTATTTCCTAAGATTTTCAATAATGGAAATATCACATAATTTTAAAATTAAAAAGTCTGAAAAAATGTCATGGACATTTCTATACTGATAATAAATCCAGTTATGATCAGCTCTGAAATATTTATTTGTGTAGTTATGTGAATGGTTTATTACTGTTTAAAATAACTGACAGTAAACTAAAAAAAAGATCAAATATACAAAACAAGATCAAAATAAAATCTTTAATATAATCAATAAAAAATGTCACACGACAATTAAAATTTGAATTACATCCGACTATTTAAATATAAAAATATAGTAATAGTAAAGTAAAGTAATATAGCCAAAAAAACCAAAAAGCCATAACAACAACAACAATAATAATAATACAAATAATAATCATAGTTATTATTATTATTATCATCTGGAAAAGTCGTTGTAGTTTCTATACTGACCATACAATTATTCAGTTATGATCAGTTCTGAAATATTTCTTTGTATAGTTATTGAACTTTTGTGAATATGTTCTCTATGCAATGATGTTTACAAATCCTAATCCAGTATCCAGTCATGGCAATTAAAAACGTGTGGAAACCTTTTTTTCCTGTGAAGCCTCTCAGTTTCAGTCAATTAAACATTATAGGTGGTAAAGGGATTATTTATTATCATGACTCGTCTTAATGCTGAATATCAAGTACATTTGTGTTCTTATCTATTACACAAACAGCCCTGCAGCTGATCACATACAAACACACACACACAAAACATAATTTAATATGATTTATAAGCTGTTTTCCTCATGGGGACCAAAACATGTCCCTACAATATCAAAGATTCCTGGTATGTCCCTCCCTATAGGGAACCACTTATATATATACGGTATATACCTGAACCACACACACACACACACACAAACGCTCGGGTAAGGAACAGGTTGATCTGTTCGCCTGCACGTGTGTTCCCTGACACAGAAGGGCAGGCACCTGTTGGAAGGGAACATTTCTTTTATAGTCTATAATAAGCTCACATCAGATAAACTCTCCACATTAGGTCACCATTCTAATTCTCGCTCAGTCTCTCTCGGTCTGCTGGTGTGATAATTGTTTTAGATAGAGCCGACTGTTTAAGAACAGCCGTCCTGGCCGGTCCTAACCTCACATGAACATTATGTTTATTTTCCTCCACTAAAACCTGGAGTCAGCCATCATGACGGCATCCTCCACTCCTCTAATTTATTTACTTCTACAGTTTCCCCAAACAAGCAAAAAGAACATTGTGTCCTTACTGTGAACACGAGTGGGAGGAGGTAAAGGGAAGGGGAGGGGAACGAGCGCAGGCGAGAAGGAAAAGGGCGAGTGTAGGATAAAAGAATGGTGGAGAACAAGATGACCTCTTAAAACTGAAAACTTATAGTCTTAAAAGACCAAAACAGTGATGAGTTTTAATGGATAGTGACATTTAAGAATAGTCGCCGTAATTTAATCACTTTCACTGTATTTTTAGTGCGAGTAGAGCAATGACAGGAAATGACAGGAAAATGGGATTGGGAAATGTCATGTGCTGGATTCAAACTTACACCGCCTGCTCTGTCAGGCATGTGTAGACAGTCCTGGTCCTGGGGACCACCGCTCTGCATATTTTGTATGTCTTCCTTATTTAACTCATGGAGCTCATTAGGAAGAGCTCCATGAACTCAACTAAGGGCCTCAAAAAAGTTCATAAAGAGATCGTAAAACTAATTAATATTAATTGAGTGGTTTAGTCAGAATTTTCTGAAGAAACTCAATTGCTTTTCATGATGAACAGATTGCATTTAGGGTTTTATTCACATATACTGTACACATTTATCAACTCACACATCTGTTGTGGTAAACGGAAGCTCAAGCATGTTCGCTTGACGTGCAAGAACCAATGAGGTTCATTTTCATGTGTTACGCAGCAGGTTTGAGCTTCAGCAAGAACCAATGAGGTTGATTCTTGTGGGTTTCGCAGCACGTTTGAACTTTTGCAAGAACCAATGATGTTCATTCTCGTGTGTTACGCAGCATGTTTGAGCTTCAGCAAGTACCAATGAGGTTCATTCTTGTTTCACAGCACGTTTGAGCTTCAGCAAGAACCAATGAGGTTCATTTCCATATGTTACGCAGCACGTTTGAGCTTCAGAAAGAACCAATGAGGTTCATTTCCATATGTTACGCAGCACGTTTGAGCTTTAGAAAGAACCAATGAGGTTGATTCTTGTGGGTTTCGCAGCACGTTTGAACTTTTGCAAGAACCAATGATGTTCATTCTCGTGTGTTACGCAGCATGTTTGAGCTTCAGCAAGAACCAATGAGGTTCATTCTTGTTTCACAGCACGTTTGAGCTTCAGCAAGAACCAATGAGGTTCATTTCCATATGTTACGCAGCACGTTTGAGCTTCAGAAAGAACCAATGAGGTTCATTTTTATGTTTCGCAGCACCTTTGATCTTCCGCAAGAACCAATGAATCATTCTCGTTAGTTACGCAACACGTTTGAGCTTCCTCTAGAACCAATGAGGTTCATATTTGTGTTACGCAGCACGTTTGAGCTTCAGCAAGAACCAAAGAGGTTCATTCTCGTGTGTTACGCAGCACATTTTAGCTTCAACAAGAACCAATGAGGTTCATTCTCGTTTGTTATGCAACATGTTTTAGCTTCCTCTAGAACCAATGAGGTTCATTCTCGTGTTACGCAGCACGTTTGAGTTTTCAATTCAATTCAAAGAACTTTATTCGTGCTGAGCATCAATGCGTGTACGGTTCCACAGCACAATATACCACACAGTTCTATATAAATAAATAATAAGTAATAACTAAAGCTTGCAAAGTACAATAAATACATGATAAATATGCAGTAAACATTAAAAGGTTGCATTAAAATAGATAAATAAATAAAGATTAATCACAAATCCGCACACACGGACATACACCTTGGTGAATAAATTGATCAACCATTCATGTTTCTAATGGATGTGGGCACAAAACTTGTCATGGCTCTGTTGGTCCTGAATATGAGTGATCTGTATCTCTGCCCTGAGGGTAGAAGACTATAGTGGCTGTGCAGTGTGTGAGTGGTGTCTGAGTAGTGGTATCTGTGTTCCTTTTATTTTTGTCCTCCTGTTATAAATACTGATAAGTGGTTCCTGCACCTGTCCGATTATTTTACTACTCATTGTTATGATTTTGTTTAGTGTATTGCTTGCGATGGATGTTGGATAGTGATCCAAACCAGGCTGATATATTGAAGGTTATTACAGACTCAATGAAGCATTTGTAGAAAGCTATCAGGACTGACTGATGAATCTGAAGTCTACAGAGCTTCCTCAAGAAAAAGAGGCGCTGCTGGAACTTAGAGAAAATGTTTTCACTGTTTAGTTGGAAGGTAAGTTTGTGATCAAGTATTGTCCCGAGGTATCTATATGATTCAACCCTTTCTATTGGCTGGTTGTTGACTAACTGAGTGGGGATGATGGAAACATCTTTGCGGAAGTCAACAACCAGTTCCTTTTTTTTAGAGGGATTGAGGTCAAGACAGTTCTGCTTGCACCACTCTTAGTCTGTAACTCTCCTAGTGAATTAGTGGTGTCCATGATCACAGTGTCGTCGGAATATTTAGTGTCATATTATACCTGGGTTATTGCTCCTGCAGTCATTATTGTAGTGTATACAGAACGGTGGAGACTGTCTTAGACAAACTGAGGTGACCGTTGACTATCCAGAGAATAAGGTGCGGGTTCACGTCCATTTGGAGCAGTTTTTGCTTCAGCAAGAACCAATGAGGTTCATTCTCCTGTTATGCAACACGTTTGAGCTTCAGCAAGAACCAATGAGGTTAATGTTTGTGTTTCGCAGCACGTTTGAGCTTCAGCAAGAACCAATGAGGTTCATTCTCGTGTTACGCAGCACGTTTGAGCTTCAGCAAGAACCAATGAGGTTTGTTCTCACCCTTCAAGCAGGTTCGGTTGAGCTTCTGTTTATGATCGCTAATCAACGTTTAAATTAAATCTTATAAAGCGATCAAGTCTCTTCAAGAAATTTTGGATCAGAGCACTCAAATCATATAGATTACTTTTACGATCTCTTTATGAACTTTTTGAAACGTCAAAATGATAGTTGTGTAGCTGTCAATGGAGGGACAGAAATCTCATATTTGAGTTTATTTTTTTTGTTTTTTTTGTTCATTTCTGAGTTTCTTTGTTAATTAGTTCAGTTCGCCTCTGTTCTCTCCAGTTACCTTTTAAGTTGGTTGTTCTGTTCCTGATATTGTTCCTGAGATTCTGTTTTGTGAAGATTTGAGTTGATTTCTAAATAAAGACTGCTGCACTTAGATTCTGTTTCATCTCTGCTGCAACCAACGCTGACAGTCAGCTCTCTAAT